GTTCTTGCTTTGGCTTTTCCTGAGCATTGGCAATGCCTGTACCCGGAGCCGGCTGTAATAATTCAATATCCATGTCCCTAAAAGAATCGGGGATACGGTCAATTTTTTTATTGAGCCAGTAAGCAGTCTTCAGGTATGTTTTCTGAGGATAATAGATAAACAGGCAGGTGCCGTCCTTAATGGTATTGATAATTCCCTGTGCCAGTTTCGGGTTTAGCGCAGGGCAGCCCCAACTACGTCCGAGACGTTGATTGCCGGCTATAAAATCTTTACAAACATAATCGGCAGCATGTACCACAATACCACGATCTAAAGCCGCGGAATTATAGCCGTTGTCCATGCCATGCAGGCGCAACGAATTGCCATGCTCACCATTATACGTATCCCCGGTTACATAAAAACCAATGCTGCTCTGGTGTGAATTTTCCTTGTTGGAGAATTCGGTGGCAAACTCATCGCCCGACCCTTGTCCATGCGCTACATAAGTATAGGTAAGCAGCTTATTGCTTTTCAGGTCAATGATCCAGAGACGATGCTGGTTAGATGATTTTGTAAAGTCGGCAATCGAAAGGACCTGCCGGTCTTCATTGAGCTTGCCTGCATTTTTAAGATTCAGGTAGCCATGCATAGCCATCCTGAACACCTCGGCAGCGGGCATTTCATTTTTGCCAAAATCAATCTTTTTATAAAGCTTTGAAATATAGGCATCGGCTTCTGACGCAACGGCATGGGTAATCACCGGGTCAGACGCAAGTACATACTTGTGATGTAAAGAACTCAACACAAAAAACGACAGGCACAGAACACTTTTCTTTAGAATCACTATCTGATGTTTTAAATGAAATGAATAAATTTAAACGGCTCATCGGAGCATCCTATATAGGAAGTGGGTTTACAAAGATAACCATCCACGCGACCTATGCAAGCATTAATACGTTGTTTAACTGCGAATTAACTACATGTGTGTAGCTGCTTTTTTACAAAAAATCCTTTGTTTATAAGGCATTCAGGCGATTTCAGGGCAGATAATCCCCCTTTTTGTAACCCGGTATTATCCCGGGATTTTGCGTAGTTTTGGC